AAAAGATACTATGGATTATTCTGTGAAAAATCTTCCATTTCCAAATAAAGCAACTTAAAATGTATGCTGTAGCCTATGAAATACATCTTAGTGACATTAACTTAATCCTTACAATAAGCCTATGATATATACAGAATAATTGGGCTCATTTTTAAAGATGTGAAAACTGAGGACAGAGAAATTAACTGATTTGCCAAACTATAAAAAACAAAACTATTAAGTTGTTAAGCCAGAATACAAACCCAATGTATTTGCATAGTGACTGTAAAAGAAAAATCTTCCAGGTATAAAGAAATGTATTTAAGTCACTACCCAAAAACGTCAGGTTACTGATAACAAGCAGATCAGGTCACCAATGCAAAACATCATCTGTAGGCACTCTGGTCTATCTCCTCAACTTTCCCACCATGGGAGCATTCAGTGTGTGGTTATGGCACTGATGTTTTCTAACAATTGTGAGATGGGCTCTTGAGTAATGTTTCCTAACTGCAAAGTAGTGACATTTAAAAATGATTTAAACAAATGATTAGTATGGACACAGGGTAATCACTGAAATTATGCCACCCTTACTATGACATGCTTTCTAAACAGGATGAGAAAGGAGGAGAGTTAGAGCTAGGATATTGAGAACCGCCCTTAATGGACAGCACCTATGCCACAGCCACCTTAGGTGGGGAATGATGGCTGGCGCATCAGTGGTAATTGTGCTGATTACTGTAGCACTTACAAGGTGTCATCAGAGTTATATCGATTTTTGAGGCCTCATCAAGGCCTGAGATACCCATGGGACACTGTCACTCACTGGAATAGCATGTGTTATAGCAGAAGAGGTTGAGGTGTCAATAATTATAAGAAATTGTATAGTTAAGGCTGCTCTCTGTATGCCAGAGGTTTGGTATTTAGTTGAAGAACTCTGGTCTCACATTCAGAGAATACACAAAAGAAGTTGCTGATTGTAAGACCAGTTCAGACCAAGTAGAGCTCATAGCTGGGTATGGTCAGTGAAGATACTGTTCTTGCTTGGATCTTATGCTAAGTCCAGACACAGGAATAGAAATATATTCTTGCTGGGGTCCAACCCCAGCAGTCCAGGGGTCCCCAAAGGTGTGGACGGAGTCAGCGAAGAAGGAGTGACACGGAGACAGCGTTCAGTTGATCAGCAGCCTTGCCAGGATCTCTAGCCACAATCTCCAGCCAAGTTCTGTGTCCATGTTCTCTTGTTAGGTTCTCCAGCCAGGTTCTCCAGGTTCTCCAGCCAGGTTCTGTAGCCATGTTCTCTCGCTAGGTTCTCCAGCCAGGTTCGGTTTAGGTCCTTCAGCCAGGTTCAGTCGCCAGGTTCTGTAGCCGGGTTCTTCAGCCAGGTTCTGTCTAGGTTCTCCAGCCAGGTTCTGTAGCCAGGTTCTAGTCAGGTTCTCTTGCCATGTTCTATCCAGGTTCTGTAGCCAGGTTCTGTCTCTAGGTTCTTCAGCCAGGTTCTCTCGCTAGGTTCTGTCTCTAGGTTCTGTTGCCAGTTTCTGTCCAGGA